CTCAGCACCCCCGCTATACAAATTGTTCCAGCACCCCTGCTGGGGCCAGACAGTATGCCAGGGGATTCTGCAACTCTTTCATTCTGGTGCTCACATTGGGAGGGAGAGAGGCCCACGCAGAACTCCAGTCCCTCACCGCATGGCTCTCAGCAGATTCCATCCTGCACAACACTGGGATGGGCTCCATGGTGCAAACCTATGGCCTGAACCAATGAATATATAAGAGTAGCTATAGTGACTATTAGAATTTGGGCCAGAATTTTGGTTACTGGTGGGGGTCTGCAATGCTGACAAGAGTTCCCTTCAGTGAGGCAGTGGGGTTAATGGACAGGAAGCTCAGAAGTAGATTTATGATCTACTGTTACTCTTCCCAGTGCAGACACTGCTAGTGGAGATCACAAGGGCAAGTATGGTTCCTATTAGCCCTCTCCCCCATGCCTGTAGCATGTAGAGCTCTGACTCAGTTACACCTTTGAGAAGGAAAAGCTGGACTAACTCCTGAGTGTGTGGAAGAGGGACAGTGATGATCTTTAAAGAGACCTCAGAGGCAAGAGGAAGGAAAAGGTTCTTTGGATGTGGGCTGGGGAGAACAACCATATTGGGTCAGACCAATGGTCTATCTAGCCAAGAATCCTGTCTTCTGCTAGTGGCCAGTGCCAGGTCCTTCAGAGGGAAATGACCAGAACAGGGCAATTACCAAGTGATTCATCCCTTGTTGTCCATGCCGAGCTTCTGGCAACCAGAGGCTAGGGACACTCAGAGCATGGGGTTGCATCCCTGACCATCTTGGCTGATAGCCATTGATGGACCTGTCCTCCAGAAAAAATAGTCCCAGTCTTTTAAATCTCTCCTCATATGGTAGCTGTTCCATACCCTTAATCATTTTTGTTGCCCTTCTTTGTACCCTTTCCAATTCTAATATATCTTTTTTGAGATGGGGCAACCAGAACTGCACGCAGTATTTAAGGTGTAGGAGTAGCATGGATTAGGAGTAGAATGGCATTATGATATTCGCTGTTTTATTATCTAGCCCTTTCCTAATGGTGCCTAACATTGTTACTTTTCTGACTACTGCTACACATTGAGTGAATGTTTTCAGAGAACTATCCACAATGCCAACGAGAGCTCTTTCTTGGGTGGTAACAGCTAATTTATACCCCATCACATTGTATATATAGTTGGGATTATGTTTTCCAACGTGCATTATTTTACATTTATCAATATTGAATTATAGCTGCCATTTTGTTGCCCAGTCACCCAGTTGTATGAGATCTCTTTGTAACTCTTTGCAGTCTGCTTTGGACTTAACTATCCTGAATAACTTTGCATCGTCTGCAAATTTTGCCACCTCACTGTTTGCCCCTATTTCCAAATCATTTATGAGCATGTTGAACAGCACTGGTGGCAATACACATTCCTGGGGGACACCACTCTCCATTCTGAAAACTGACCATTTATACCTATCCTTTGTTTCCTGTCTTTTAACCAGTTACTGATCCATGAGAGGACCTTCCCTCTTATCCCATAATGGCTTACTTTGCTTAAGAGCTTGAGGGTTTAATCTGTGGAAGGACTCTATATAGTGCTGTTGTTCTCATCCTGCCTCTTCTGTAACTTGAAAAATTCAACTGCTTTTTCTCCTACAAACCCACATCTCAGTATCCTTGGCACTTCTAAAGAAGTTTTGGGCCAAGCTGTGTGGCGAGCCCAGCACTGGAATAGCAGGGGGGCTGCAGGGCAGGACTGAGGGGCACTGGCAGAGCTGTGTGGGGAGCCCAGCACTGGAATAGCAGGGGGCTGCAGGGCAGGACTGAGAGGCATTGGCAGAACTGTGTGGGGAGCCCAGCACTGGAATAGCAGGGCGATGCAGGGCAGGATCGAGGGGCATTGGCAGAGCTGTGTGGGGAGCTCATGGCCATGGGCTCCAGGTTTGTATAATTTTTGATGGTGCCCAGAATGGGTCCAAATCCTGCACCCCACACCTGCCTTATAAGCTGATATATATCCTTACCTCTGTCCACCCGCCCCCAGCTGGGGCCGGGAGCAAGGCCATGTCTCCAGGACAGAGGAAAGGGGGCCAAGACTGGGGTCACAGCTGGGGGTGGACACAGGGCTGGCAGTAGAGCCCTGGGAGGCAGCCAGCAGTGGAGCCCCAAACATTGGTGAAGCCTGGCTCACGCTCCTGCGTATTGGTGGAGCACGGGCACCATGGGCTCATATAACTTGCTGCCTATGCCCAGGGCTGGAATAGCAGGGGGGCTGCAGGGCAGGATAGAGGGGCATTGGCAGAGCTGAGTGGGGAGCCCAGCACTGGAATAGCAGGGGGCTGCAGGGCAGGACTGAGGGGCATGGGCAGAGCTGTGTGGGGAGCCCAGCACTGGA